TTGATATGTACTTGATAATGGCACGGCCTATCATAAAGGATGAAACGAAAACCAGGCTGCGAAAATCCACATTTTAGTTGGCGCGCGAAAGACCGCGAAAGCTTCGCGAAAGGCGCGGCGATTGATGGTTTTCGGGAAAAGGAATTTAGAACAGCCCCATATCTTCAACAATCGCGCTCCCGTGAGGATCATCCTCGAAATTTCGTCATCCAAATCGACGAAAATGACGCGCCCGTGCGGAGCATTCGCCACATTTGGATCATTTGTGAACGATCATGTCGAGGGTTTCTACATCAATTCTATATCAAACTGCTCCGCTCGAGCTCGTCTTCTTCGTCCCCGTTTTGAAGAAAATCGCGCTCCCGTGCGGCGCATCCTGATAATTTTGAGCAAAATGTTCTTCTTTATTTCGGCGGGCGACGGCATCCTCATCTTATCTCACTTAGGTTCAGGTAAAACTACACATGTGTTGTTTTCCGGTCCTTTAATTTTGGCAAACTATACATACATAGACATGTACATATATAATTTATGTGAGTATGTGTGCGTGTGTAGATTTCTCATTATATATTCGAAAAAATTCAGGCTACCAGGGTTTGGGGTATAGGCCTGGAGGTTCTAGGTTTAGAAAGCTTTGCAGGGTATAATTAGGCCATGAATCCCCCTTCTGTCAAGAGACTATATGCCTGGAGGTCCCCGTGCTGCGCCTGTTACCGCCGAAACTGCTGGACGGTGCCGAGCTCCAAACCCCTGCCAACATACAAAGCTTCGGATTTCGGACGGTAAACCTCGAGGGCAAGGTTTTCGTCGTGGAGTCGGTCGTCCAAGACGGCTGGGCACAGATCTTTGGGATGCGTGAGGCTGACAAGATCTTGTGGATCAATGGGCTGCCTACTTCAGCCTTGAGCTGGGGTGAGGTTCTTCATTGGAATTGCAGTGGGCCTTTGACAATGAATCCAGTCTGCAGTTATGCTGGCTCAACAGGCTTTAGAACACATCAACCTCAATCAGCAGCTCTAAGAAGGTACGCCTAATGTTGAGAAAGCCTGAAGTAGCCAGGTTCATTGCGCGCAGCGCCGGAGGCAGTTCGAGGATGGAGGAGTCCTGCGTGCTTCTTTTCCAAGCCGCCTGGCGCGTGCAGCGTGCCCGAAACTGGGTTGCTGTTAAGGAACTTGATTTAAGTTATTGTATTGGGGAAACCAATATGGAAATTTAAGTTCCTTAACAGCAACCCAGGAAAAGGGCTGGGACGCCGTAGCCTGGCTCTGCTGGACCCTCCGGCGCCCCTTGGACGCCATGATTGGCAAATGTGGGTATGCTTGACTGATAGATTTCTTCAACTCATGCCCATCCACTGCATTCACCTACATTCGATCCTACGGTTTGGACTCAAACCCACTTGTGTTGTCACCTTTTGCTCTGAATTCTTATCCACCCAACTCCTGAAGGGATGGCTATCAAAGAGTCTCGGCGTGTGCTGGCCGACGAGTTTCGGCTTTGGGCTTGCACTTCCTCCCAACATCTTTGCCAGCTCCGTTCCTCGAGGTGGAAAGTGTCCTGGCTGTGGTTGCTTCAATTGTGTTGTTGAGCCCTGTCATGGCACATGCGGTGTCGGTATCGTTGTCCGAATATCCTCTTACTGTTTTCTCGGGCTACGATGCATACGGGTAAGATTTTCAGTGCGGCGCCAACGGACAGTTTAGAAGAAAATTTGGTAGCCAATATAGACCCCAGAAAATTACAGTCCTTATTATGGGGACGTCCAAAAGACTACCCCTGATTTTTGGAAACTCCCCTTATCTTGCGAGGATTGGATCCCGAGTCGTGGGGGGAGCGAGCGGGAGCAGCTGTGGGAGACAAGCTGCGGGCCATTGACCAATTCAGAACAGACGGCCTCACGGCCAGGTGCTCAGCTTCCAGCATAGGAGCTGTAGTCTAAACTCCTTAAAGGCTTCTTCTTGTGCGGAATACTGTGGGTGTTATTAAGGGGGATACTAGGACTTTCGACTATAGCTCACATGCCCCCTATGCCCACTTTCAGCTGGAAGCTGTCCCTTCTCCTCCTGAGCCCAAAGGATGCTAAATTCGCACAGCTGCTTTTGGAGCGACCTATTCGCCTGACTTTTGACTACTGGGCGGGCTTGTGGGACCAGACGCGGTTTACAGTGTTGGCTGGGAAAGCAGATGAGCAGCTGGGCTTTCGGCTAGCAAACATGCCTCCAGCCCCATATCTTGCGGTGGAAAAGGTAGACGACTGCTCTTGGGCTGCCCGCATGGGAGTGCAGAGCGGTGATAAGCTCTTGGCTGTATATCGCCGGCGAACAGGAGAGATTTCTGCAGAGCAGCTGGTGAACATGTTCAAGGGTTTTCGTCCACTGCGTTTGACCTTCAGCCGCCTCGAGCGCTTCACTGTCACTGTCCTGCAGCAAGAAAGAAGTATGGGTGTGCAGACTAACTCTGTTCCCCCAGCAGCTTTTCTGGAGATCCGGAAGGTGGAGCCGGGTTCCTGGGGCGAGTCTGCTGGCATTTTTGTTGGGGATGCGCTGGTGGCATTGAATGGGCAGTGCCTGGACAACATGGCCAGAAGGGAGTTCATCAGACTGATGAAGGAAGAGCGGCCCTTGTCCCTCACCATCGATCGGAATCATGGAGCGAATTCAGTTGTCCAGTTTGACCGGTACACCCTCACGGCAAGTCTGGAGCTTGGCAATTTTCAAGTTTGATGCAGCACTGGCCATGAATTTAGAAGAAACTGCCTATGGCAGGTATAGACAAATATTCTGATTGATATTCTTGAAATTGCCGCGATCAGGTCTAGCTGTCATGGGGTGTAAGTGCCACTTTGAGATACTTGCGAGGTGAGGACCATCCACGACTGGGCTTGCGCCTATCAGGCTTACCACCTGCGGCCTGGCTATGCGTAGAGCAGGTCACAACTGCAGGCAGGATTTCTATGCTAGATTTCTCATGCTTCTCAGCATTTTCTTATCATGGGTTGCAAGTGCCCTTGGGGCAGGAGAGGGTGCGGGTAGCAGCAGCGGTGGCAGTAGTAGTAACAGTAACCGTTGCCATTGCTGAGCGGCTGTAGGGTTTGCAATTGCCGCTGCTCCGTTTGCTGGCTTGCGGGAATCATGGTAGAAACTACAGTTGTTGTGCAGGCTGGGCAGAAGAAATGAATATCCAAGTGGGAGACCGTCTTGTCGCAGTGGCGCACCGGATCCTCAGCAAAGTTGGCTGATTGTAAGGTTTGTCGTGCCATTGGCGCGGGAGATGAGATATATGGGGATTGTCCTAAATTACTGTCAATACGGGGTCCTATATTTAGGTTCCTATTATAATACGGGGCCCTATATAATTTTCCCCCATTTTCGGAACAGTAATTTAGGGAAACTTCCATACGCTAGTAGGTGATCATAATTCACCAGCAGAGCCCCTCATGAATAACTAGATCCGGGTACGCAGCTTTGGAGCCCACGAGGGACGGTACTGATATAGTCCCCCTTAATTAGGAAGTGGAGTAGATAGAGTATGGAGTATATTGGGGGGTCGTCTTATTCTGATATACCCAAAGCCATGTTCTATTTACTGTACTTAAGGGGGACTATAACTATGACCTTTGACAGAGTCAAGGTGCCTGGATGAAATGCCAAAGGAAGAGTTCCTTGAGCTCTTCCGGCACGTGCGACCGATGCAGCTCACGTTCGCGAGAACCAAAAATTTTGACGCCAAGCTTGCCTTTGAGAAGTCAGTTTGCACCCAGCTGCCGCAGAGCCCGGCTTTGCTGAGGTAGTCCTGGATTCTTGGATATCCTGGACCATTTATAGATATATGCAAATATAACCATACATATATATATGTATATCCACTTAGATAACCCATATGGATAAGATTTGCATCGGGTTCCTAGATCTATAGATGCAAAAAGCGCAAATGCAGGAACACGAAGCCGAGGTGGTCGAGGAGGTGGGTGCCAAGCTGCCTAAAGTCTGGCATGAGCTGTAGTAGTCTAAACTCCTGAAAGGCTGGTTGTATAGGGGATTGATTATATAGGGGACCATATAGGGCTTATTAAGGGGGATATTGGGAGTTTGAACTAAAACTCTCACATGGTCAAAGCTATGGGCCTCTTGTGGCTATGGATTATATTACGGCACCTAATATTTAGGGGTACCGAAATAGGACCCTAATTTTGGGAACTACCCTAAACCCTAAATAGTAGCTTCCATTTTCTTTTCCATTATCCCTAAATAACCCCTATAGACTCCTATCTACCCCTAATTTTGGGAACTACCCACATGACTTCTTTTTCCTGGGCCTCGCTGATAGGAAGAAGCGGTGGTCGATGAGGAGGCTGCCGCCTTGAAACATTCTCATCGCTTCCCGGCTAATACATACATATATATATATACATATATATATACATATATACATATATATATATACCTATCTATCCCTAGGTTTCGGGATTAGGGATATCATCCCCCTAACATGGAGAATCAAATGGAAAAGAAAATGGAAAATGAAATGGAAACTGCTATATATAGGGATATGTGAGGGCTTTGTGGGCTATAGTCGAATTCCCTTAGAGGGGTTTATAGAGGTGAGTATATAGGGGACTACCATAAGGATTATTATGGGGGATGCTAGGGGTTTAGGCCAGCTCATAATCATATGAACCCCCCCCGCCGCCCCTAATATCAAATACTCGCATTGTGGTATGTTATAATGCAGGGAATATTGATATTAGTTAGGAGGAAAACTGGTGCATGCTTCAATTTGTGGACAGGTCGTCGTGGTGCGGGACTTGGGTTGATGGCTTGCAAGCAGTGTCGGCTCGGCATGTCAGCTTGTCGCCAAGCTTTGCAGAATCAGGCACATGGCTTTGAGTCCTTGCTTGATGCTGAGGACAGCCTGACTTGCAGTGAGAGGATTCAAACCGGGTTGAGAGCCTTGCAGTGCTGCGAGGAAGCGTTCAACGAATGGATGCTATCTGCTTGTGAGAAGTACGGCAAGGCACGGCAAACACCAATGCAGGGAAGTGCTTGCAGATTTCAGAAGGACTGATGTCAGCTTCTGCTATTATCACCATGATTCCAGCTATTACTATCAACATTACTATTACTATTGCTATCAACATTATTGTTATTACCATTAGTACTGTTATCACCAGGGCATCCACAAGAAGATCCACGGCAAAGCCAAGACACTTGGCAGAGCTGCAGCCCCAGAGCATTGCTCCTGCTTTTGGAAGATGGCAAGAGCCGATGAATGACTTAGGACTTGCATTACATTACAAATTAGAACGGGTTATAGGGATTATATATATAAGGATTAGATAGGGGTAATGGAAAAAAACATGGAAACTACTATAGTCTGTTGGGGATATATTGGAAAAATGGAAAACAAAGTGTAAACTACCATGGTGTTTAGAGGAATTTCGGGTTATATTAATAACACGTTGGTTCATCTTCACTCCCTTCAGAACAAGACAGTCCAAATTCCATGTTGGAAAGAAAACGTTGAGGTGACATGTTGCCCTGGCGCATCAGTTAAGGCATATGCGTTGGTTTGGCAAGCCTACAGGAAGAAGATGGAGAAGGAGGGGCCCCTTCCTACTGCGACTGCCACTGCTACTGCTGCCACTGGTCCTGCTACTATGACAGAGCTACCAGGAGTACTTCACTATGCTCACAGATGTGTTTCAATCGTTTGTTTGGACAGATCTTATACCACAAGCCCTAAACCCCAAACCGCGAGGTATAAAGCAGGCAGAACGCTGTGGATGCTATGCAGTTCTGCCACGCTGCCAGGATGAGGACCGCACCGACGACATCGACAAGGACTCCAAAGTTCTTGATCTACTTTAGGGTTTTAGGGTTGAGGGTTTAGGGTTCAGGGTTTTAGGGTTGAGGGTTCAGGGTTCAGGGTTTTAGCGTTGAGGGTTTAGGG